ATTCAGAACAAATAAATTTTTTGCTTATTCTAAAAAAAAGTTAATATAATAAGTAAATTCAAATAGTTTAATTAATCATTCGGGTACCCATGATCACCCTCTGTATTTTAAGTTTTATATTGAGTGAAAAAGTGTGCAGATACTTTTGTCCACTCTCTGTATATCAGTATATTGAATTAAAAAATTTTTTTCAGGTTTTTTTAAAAAGTACTTATTTTCAAGTAATATAGAAATTAAAGAATACTTATTTTTTAAAAAGATGCTTATTTTCAAGAATATATGATATCATATATTAAAAATTATAAATTTGTAAAATAAAAAATAAAGTAATTTATTAATAGTTATTTTATATAATTAATAATAACTTTTATAATATAAAATTATTTAAAATTTATTTTATTACTATATCATTTTAATAATAAGTAAAAGTAGTTAATAATATTTATTAACTGATTTTTTTTATTTTAAATTGATTTAAATAATTTAAAGTATTAAATTAACCAAATTTAAATTAGTTTAATCAAATTTTGATATTTTAAATAATATTATTGATAGTAAATAATTTAATATATAAAATTGATTAAGTTTAAAATTTGTATATAAAAAGTTGATTTATAATAAATAAATATTATATATTTATAAAAGGATTTTCTATAATAAAATTAAATTGATTAATAATAAGTATATTATAATAAAATTACAAGTTACTGTATAAGTAATAATATATATTTTTTATTTTAAATTATTTTATATTAAATCCTAATATTTTAAAATAAAATATTATATTGGTTGATTGAAAAAATTTTCTTTAATTTTAGTACTAGTAACATTTCAGTCATATAATGAATTAATCAAATTAAGCTTAAATATTAATTGCCTTAATTTTTCTAATAAGCCATTATATTTTGCTTTTTTTTTTAATTTATAAATTGTTAATTATTAAATTTTATTTTTTATTATAGAATAATTTAATCATCACATGGGTGCGATACATCGCTTCCTTTTTTGTCATCAGTGTCATACTCCCTCCCTTTTTCATTTTTATATATATTCTGGAAACAGAAATTTTTTATTAAAAAAATCCATTATTCATACCCAGCGATAAATGTCATATGTTTGAATTTTGCCCGGCATTACATAATTTTGCCCTATCGCACTGTGCGATGAAATATACTTTATTAAATAAAATACTTATTCTATTAATATACAAAAACCACTATTATTTCCATTTTTGGATAATCCTCAACATACACTATTTAAGTGAACCCTTGAAATATATTATAAGTTTATTATATAAACACCCTATTGTTTTTTTTCCCATTTTTGCAAAAAAAAATATTTGCAATTACATTTATGGCTGCGATGACCATTTCAACTTCGGAAACCATTCCCTGGGAAGATGCTAAAACGACTCAGAGCGATTCAAATACTGGACTTCTAAATGGATTAAATACACCTCCACCACAAGTACTTGTAGGAAACGAAGAAAAAATGGAAGAAATAAGTAATGGTATAGGAAATGAAGGTATTAATAGTCAACAAGTTCAAGCAACATTTGCTGTTGGGTCTATCAACGAAGCTAGATCTAGTCAGTCACCTGTTCCCGGAGAGACCATCAGAAGTGCATATCCTTTAAGAAGATATGCAAATAGACACGGATCTGGTTATAGTAATAATATAAATGCACAAAGAACAGTTTTTGATGGCAAAAGAATGAGAAAAGCTATCCAAAGGAGAACTGTAGATTTCAATTGTTCTATTGGAAAATATATGCAGGTGAAAAACAAGTTTCCTATTATTTTTTAAAGTTCAATTGCTTTAACTAATCGAAAATCAAAATTTTTTCATGAATTTTAGGATAGAATATGGATTCAAGACCAAAGAAACATGAGACTTCTAAGACCTAAAGCAGACTTTATCATAGATGTATGTTTCAGAATTACAATCTTACAATATTAAATTCAAATTATTTATTTTTCATATGTTTTATTTAGCTTTTGCCACCCTCAGCTTATTTGCATAATCCGGTAAATGCAGTAGCAACAAAATATGTGCATACTTCGACCAACAAAAACAGATATCCAGTTAATGTCGTCCGGGTATGTTTGATGGATACTTTGTATTTTTATTAGTATCTTGAAAAACTCTTTTAATTAATCAAAATTTTTTTTTTCATTTTGACAGTGGACGCCTGAAGGGAGACGGTTAATTACGGGATTATCAAGTGGCGAATTCACATTATGGAATGGCTTAACGTTCAATTTTGAGACTATTTTACAGGTATTTACAAATTTTCATAAATATTTTTTTGTCTACTTATGTGTTCTCTTTCGCGAAGTCTGCGTGTTTGAGATTAAGCTTCAGGTTATGGAGAACGAAAAAAACAAAGAGATTAGCTTAATTTCTTTCACTTATAATGTAACTTCGTTTACAAACGTTTATAATAAAATCAATAAAAAATTATTAACCCAATCCTGTCACAAGTGAAACTCGTGTCTAATTATTATTTTCTATGAAAGTTTCATTGTTCTGGAAGATATGCAATTCAACAAATACTTCCTTTCTCCCTTAAACATTTTTAACCTTTTATAGAAATTTCATTAATTGTAGTTAGTGTATTAAGTTAAGAATTTAATAAAATATATGAAGGGAGCAATATGGGAAGAAATAAAGATGTTAAAACCATCATATTTTTTTTTCCATAATTCTCTACTTTATATTGTTCAACTATAATTTTTGTTACTTTGTTCATCGTGTAAAGAACATGTATATAAAAGATTTATTTTTGATTTATCATGATTATTTTTGTAATATATTTTTCTCTCTCTCTTTTTCTCGTTCCCCCACTTTCCTTATTATAATCATTTTGACCTTTTGGATAAAAAAAAAAAAATATATATTATTCAATAATGTTATAATAAAACAAAATAAAGGCACATGAATCAGCAGTGCGAGCGATGAAGTGGAGCCATAACGATAATTGGATGGTTACGGCAGATCACAAAGGTATCATAAAATATTGGCAATCCAATATGAATAATTTGAAGATGATTGAAGGTCATAAAGAAGCTATTCGAGATTTATCGTGCGTACAATTCTGTTATTTTCTTTTTAGATAGTCATGTAATTCTTTTTATTATTATAATCAATAAATAAATCAATAAAACTTTGAATTTTATATTAATATCTCTCTCCAATCATTTCAATCTTTATATGAATCATTGTATGAAAATTATGATATAAAATCCATAATAGATTTGCACCAACCGATACAAAATTTGCTACATGTTCGGATGATGGGACTATAAAAATATGGGACTTTAATGAAGGAATTGAAGAAAAATCTTTATCTGGTTTGTACTTCCTTCTCTTTTTTTCCAATCTTAAAACATAATTTACTAAATTTTCTTTGATTCAAAGGACATGGTTGGGATGTAAAAGCTGTTGATTGGCATCCATATAAATCTTTATTGGCATCAGGATCCAAAGATAATCTAATAAAATTTTGGGATCCAAAATATGGAAAGAACGTTGCTACTTTGTGAGTTTAATGTAGAATAATATAATATAATCTTCTGTTAATTTCAGCTTTAAATATTTTAACTTCTTGATTTGATCAGGCATGGACATAAAAATACTATCCTTGGCTTGCAATGGAATAAAAATGGGAATTGGTTAGGGACCGCGGCTAGAGATCAACTGGTCAAAGTTTATGATATCAGAATGATGAAAGATTTACAAACTTTTCGTGGACATAATAAAGAAGTTTGCTGTAAGTATAAATTCTTAATAAAATCTTTTTTTTATAAATTTGTGTTTATAATTAAACAACTTTATGTCCATCAGCGATTACATGGCATCCGTCCCATGAGAAATTATTGACTACAGGTGGATCAGACGGATGTTTAATGTATTGGATTGTAGGGTAAATAAAATATTCTTGACACTTGTTTTTTCATACAAATATTCCCGTAAGTATTAATGCTATTTTATAATAGGCAAGATGAAGCCGTGGAATCTGTTGAATATGCCCATGATCAAAATGTATGGTCACTTGACTGGCATCCAATAGGTCATATTTTGGTATCAGGTTCAAATGATCATTCAACAAGATTTTGGACGAGAGCGCGTCCTGGTGACACGGCTCAAGAAAAATTCCAAGCTAACAGGCCAAAAGCAGAAGAAAATGGGTTGAAAGAAGTTGTTATTGAAGATGGTATTAAAAAATTTCTTTTATCATATATTTTTTTTTTTATAACTTACCGAAAGTATAATACAATTTTCTCTTTATATTAGAAATAAAAATGCCGGGTTTACAGCATTTTAATCATGCTAATGATGGTAATAATGTAGAGGTTAATGAAAATATTGGAGGTGGAGATGTATCGAATTCATATTTATATTTTACCAATGATTAGTTTATTATTATATATAGTATTTTTTTTTTTTAAAAAAAAAAAAACCAAATAAATAAATAAATAAATATAATTTTTTTTATTAAAACTTTAATTTATATGAATTATATTATATATTAACATATGATTTCTTTTAATTTAATTATTAATAATCAAATTTATATTTGTAATATAATATAATATAATATAAATATAAATTATAATTAATTAAATTTATTTTAATTATATTTAAAAATTTATATAATAAAAAAAAAAAAATAATATTAATAAAAAAAAACTTTAAATAATATCATATTTATATTTTATTAAATAAAAAAGATAAGTTATTATTTATGTTAAAAAAAAATAATAATTAGATAATAAAAATTTTAGAATTTAATAAAATCATAATTAATTATTAGGTTAAATTAATGAAAAATAAATAAATAAAATAAATTATAATT